CCAAATGATGGGATTACAGGTGAATGTTGGAATTACAGACCTGTGTCTTCTTTTTTTTTTTTTCTTCTTCTTCTTTTTTTTGTCTTTGGTCTCCCTATAGCTCCAGTTGGCCTGGAACTCACAGAGGTTCATCCACCTGCCTCTGCTTCCCAAATGCTGGGATTAAAGGCATATACCACCATGCCTGACTGTCTTGGTTCTATTGCTGTAATAAAAACTGATCAAAACCACCTTCGGGAAGGAAAGGGTTTATTTTAACTTACAACTCCTGAGTCATAGTTCATCACTGAGGGAAGCCAAGGTAGGAACTCAGGGCTGGAACCTGGAGGTAGGAGTTAAAACACAGACCATGAGGAATGCTGTTTACTGGCTGCTGCCATGGTGGATGTCAGCCTGTTTTATTATGCAATACAGGACTATCTGTCCAGGGGTGGCACCACACATAAAGGGCTGGACCCTCCCACATCACTCAACAATCAAGAAAATGCCCCCCACACATGGCCACAGGCCAGTCCAATGTAAACAATTCCTCAATTAAAATTCCCTCTACTCAGGTATATGAAGTTGAGAACTGAAGCTATCCAGCACAACCACCATACCACCTCACCAGGTTTTTTCAGGGCTGGAGATCTCATAATCCCAGGACCTTGAGCAGCTAGACAATTGCTCTACTAACTGAGCTATATCCCCCACCCCACCCTCTTTTTGTAAGTTGATCCAGTTTTGTTTTTTGTTTTGTATTTTGAGACAGGGTCTTTGTATAGCCCCAGCTGGCCTGGAACTTACTATGTAGACCAGCTTGTCCTTGATATCACAGAGATTCTTGTCTGCCTCTGCCTCCTGAACACTGGGAGTAAAGGTGTGTGCCACTACAATCAGCCCTTATTGGGGTTTTGTTTCTTTGAGACAGCCTCACTTTGTAGCTCTTGCTGGCCTGGAATTCAATGGAGCTCTGCCTGCCTCTGCCTCTGCCTCCTAAGTGCTGGGATTAAAGGCATGCCACTACCACAACCTGGCCATTTGGGGGTCTTGTCGTTGTTTAAATTTGTGTCTATATCTATGTGAGTGAGTGCCACAAGTGTGCAGGTGCCCATGGACAGCAGAAGAGGGCATTTGATTTCTTGAAGCTGGAGTTACATAAGCCAGTTGTGAGCTGCCCAATGTGAGTGCTAAGAACTGAACTTGGGTCCTTTAGAAGAGCAATAAGTGCTCTTAAATTACTGGGCCGTATCTTCAGCTGCTGTTTTAGGTTTTTTGAGACAGGATCTTGCTATGTAGCCCAGGCTAACCTGGAACTCTGTATCCTAGGCTGGCCTCAAACCGGCAGTGATTTCTCTTGCCTCAACTTACTGAATGTCAGAATTACAGGTGTGAACCACTATGTGCAGCCAATACTCTTAGTTTTTCAAGAAGAAAATTTCTAGTCCATAGCCCTTTCCTCAATTAGTGATTCTAAGATAAAAAAGGCATTCATAGACAGGGCATGGTGGCACATGTCTTTAATCCCAGCACTTGGGAGGCCAGCCTGAACTACTTAGTGAGTTCCAGGCTACAGGGAGACCCTGTCTCAAAAAAGACCAAAACAGAAAAAAGAAAGCAGGCTGAGCACCAGCCAGTAGAGCAAGCCAGGAAGCAGTGCTCCTGCTTGGTCTGTGCAAGGAAGGAAGGAAGGAAGGAAGGAAGGAAGGAAGAAAGAAAGAAAGAAAGAAAGAAAGAAAGAAAGAAAGAAAGAAAGAAAGAAAAGGCATTCATAAATAAATTTGTCCTTTTTTGTTGTTATTGTTGTTGTTGTTTTTGTCTTTTTGAAGCAGGGTCTCCCTGTAGCCCCAGCTATTCTGGAACTAAGTAGTTCAGGCTCTCCTCGAACTCACAGAGATCCACCTGCCTCTGCCTCCCAAGTGCTGGGACTACAGGCGTGTGCCACCACGCCCGGCATAAATTTGTCTTTTAAGTCTCTTACTACATGTTGACTGTTAAGATCTGCAAGTTTATTCTAAGCACAGTATCCATCAGTTGTATGTGTTCTTCCTAAGTCATTAGAAGTTTTTGAATTTCAATGAATAATTGCTTTTCTGGATCCATTTTCCATTCGAAAAGATTTAGTAGTTCTTTGATCACAGTACCATAGCAGGAATTCCTTGGGGGGTGAGGGGAGGGGGTGACTAGAGAAATGGTTCAGTGATTAAGAGCACTTTCTCCTACTCTTGGAGAAGACCCAGGTTTGGTTTCCAGCACCCCCATGGTAGCTAGCAGCTGTCCCTGTATCTATACGCCCTTTTCTGGCCTCTACAGGCATTGCATGTGTGGTCCATTCACATACATGCAAGTCCAGTAATTTTCTTGGCGAGAGAGAGAGAGAGAGAGAGAGAGAGAGAGAGAGAGAGAGAGAGAGATTGATTGATTCCTCTGGGACTGTCAAAATGATTCAGCAAGTAAAGGTACTTTCCCCAAAGCCTGACAACCTGTGTTCAATCTGAGGAACCTGCATGGTGGAAGGAAAGAACCAATTCCCACAAGTCCTCTGACCTCCACAGATGTGACCATGGCATGCGCGTGCCCATAAACACAGGCACAAGCACATGCACACACACACACACAGACGCGCATACGCACACAAATAAGTATAATTGGAAAAAAATTTCAAGGAAAAAAGATACCTCTTGATTCAGCTGAAAATAAAATGAATGTAACACTGAAAGGTCTCAAAAGTGCAGGGCCTTTTACAGTTGTGTAAATATTAACTGTTAATAGGTTTGGGGTATATTGGTAAGCTCTTAGAATATTATATAGTCATGGTATGAATGCTAATTGATTCCTGAGAAAACTCAGTTGTTTAGCTGGTACTGATTTTCACATTTAATGTGGCTTCAATTCATCTGCAAGGTTTGTGCTGGCCAAGAGGTCAAGATGGCTCAAAGAAGGCACCGTTTCCTGGGGGAAAACTGATGTGTGGAGGGAAGTATTGAAAGAGTATCATCAGTTCATTCTTGTGACCTAAATTAGTCAGGACACTGCCTCCCTCCTAAGACTACTTTTAAGAATAATTTCTTCAGCTGGGTGTGGTGGCGCACGCCTTTAGTCCCAGTAGAGGCAGGGACAGGTAGATCTCTGTGAGTTCCAGGCCAGCTGGGGCTACAAGGAGACCCTGTCTCAAAAAGACCCCCCCCCAAAAAAAGAATAAATTCTTCTAGAATACCACTCATTCCTTGTCTTTTATCCCTATGGTGCTTTCAGTCCAGGGTTCCTTAGTACCAGGCATTCTATAGATTGTCCTTGTGTCTTTTTTTTTTTTTCTTTTTTCTTTTTTTGGTCTTTTTGAGACAGGGTCTCCCTGTAGCCCCAACTGTCCTGGAACTCATTATGTAGACCAGGCTGGCCTTGAATTCACAGAGATCCGCCTGCCTCTGCCTCCCCAGTACTGGGACCATAGGCGTGCGCCACCACACCTGGCTCCTCCTTGTGTCTTTTAACTGAATGTATTTTATGTGTCTGGGTGTAATGCCTACATGTATCTAGGTGCACTTGTGTTGTGCAGTGCCCACAGAGGTCATAAGAAGGTGTCAGATCCCCTGGATCTGGAATGACAGACAGTTGTTAGCTGCTGTATGGGTGCTGGGAATTGAACCTGGGTCCTCTGCAAGAGCAGTCAATGCTCTTAACCGTTGAGCCATCTCTGCAATCCCTGTTTATTATTTTTATTTATTTTTTTTTGTGTGTTTTTGAGACAGGGTCTCCCTGTAGCCCCAGCTGTCTTGGAACTCACTATGTAGACCAGGTTGGCCTTGAACTCACAGAGATCCGCCTGCTTCTGCCTCCCAAGTGCTGGGACTACAGGCGTGCGCCACCATGTCCGGTTCTCTGTTTATTATTTTTTAATTGTATGAATGTATTGCCTGCATGTATCTAAGTGCATGCATGTCATACAATGCCTGAGGAAGCCAGAAGAGGGCGTTGGATCCTCTGGAACTGGAGTTAGAGATAATTGTTTGATTTCCATATGGGTGCTGGGAATCAAACCCACGTCCTCGGCAAGAGCAGCCAGTGCTCTTAACCACTGAGCCATCTCTCCAGCCCTCTATCAGATTTGTACTGGATTATTGAGGGAAAAGGGTCCCTGATTGTGTGTATCAATTGTGGACATGATATGGGCTTTTCTCTTAAACCCATGTGTTATTTGGCGATCCTAGTAGCATCTGCCAAAGAAGGCTAGTGGGAAGTATGTGCATCTGAGTCTTTTATGAGTATATTAATGAATTGTTGACTCTTTCCAGTTAATAAGATATTATGGCCATAACATACAGATGCTGTTCTTTTTTTTTTTTTTTTTAATGTGTATGAGTATATTACCCCCATGTAAGTGCACCTATGTTGCTGCATGTAAATACACCCATGTCATGCGGTGCCCGCAGAGGTCAGAAGAGGGCATCAGATCCCCTGGAGCTGAAGTGAGTTGCGGACAGTTGCTGCCACTGTGTGGGTGCTGGGACTCGACCGTGGGTCCTGTTGCAAGAGCAGCCAGTGCTCTTAATTGCTGAGCCATCTCTCCAGCCCCCCGTTTTGTTTTTTTTGTTTTAATTTTTGTTGTTGTTTATGGAATATGTATCTGGAAGTCAAAGCCTGGAGGTGTTATGTGAGTACAAGGCCTGACTAGAAGCATACTGGATTTGGCCTCCTGTGGCAGCATGAGAGAACATGTCACATTTGGGATGCACCCTTTGATTATATTTATTGAATAGCACATTATTGTTAATACGAAGGATGGTTTTTCTTAAGTTTCAAATGAAAGTAAGTAATTGTTATGAAAAAAACATTAATGAAAACAAAGTTTAGAAAATCATGATCTATAAAATTGTTAAGAGTGTAAAAAACTTAAAAGACAGAACTAAGAAAGAATTTTGAAATCAAGTGTGGACCTAGCACAGTGGTGAATGTTTCTCAAACTGGAACACGCTAAAGGAAATTGCAAATGTAATTTGATTTTTTTTCCCCCTTTCTTTCAGGTATCCCATTCCATTGCAAAACTTATATTAGTTAATTTCCACTGGCAAGTCTCAGAGATACTGGACAGGTAAGAGAAAGACGATAGTGTTGCACATAGTATACTTCTCTGCCTTCCCACCCACTGTAATTGTTTACATGTGTATGAGTGTTAGGCCTGCATGTATGTAAGTGTGTCTGTGTCATGCCCACAGAAGTCAAAAGAGGGCATCAGATCCCCTGGAACTTTAGTTACAGATGGACAAAAGAATAGGTAACTGTCCTTTGAGAAGGATGGTATAAAATGTAACTATTCACATATAAAGTTGAAGAATGCACCAGGAGGTTGTTAGCCTCTATGTGGGTGCTGGGAATCAAACCCAGGTCCTCTGCAAGAGGAGCCAGTCCTCTTAACCACTGAGCCATCTCTCCAGCCTCTAGACATCCTTTTCTGTAAGCATATTATGAACAGTATATTATGAACATTATATTAGAACATGTTCTCGTCTTTTCACCATATTCTTCAGCTTTAATGGTAGCATGGTATTTCATTATACAAGTGTTGCATACTTTTTCTAAACCTGTTTTTGGACATCAAATGGTTCAAATCTTCTGTCCGTATGTGATAAACCTTTTCTTTTTTGGTCTTTTGAGACAGGGTCTCCCTATAGCCCCAGCTGTCCTGGAACTCGCTATGTAGACCAGGCTGGCCTTGAACTCACAGAGATCCACCTGCCTCTGCCTCCTGATTGCTGGGATTAAAGGCATGCGCCATCATGCCTGGCAAACCAATTTTTTTTTAAACTTAATATTTTTATTTTATGTGTATGTGTGTATTGTCTGCATGTAGGTAAGTGCACCCGTGTCGTGCAATGCCCGCAGAGGTCAGAAGAGGCTGTCAGATCCCCTGGGACTGGAGTTATAGACAGTTGTTAGCTGCCATGGGGGTGCTGGGATTTGAACCCTGGTCTTCTGCAAGAACAACCAGTGTTCTTAACCGCTGAGCCATCTCTCTGGCTCCATGATAAACCAATTTTAATTTGCAATAAAACCTTGAAAAATAATTGTAAAAAACATTTTTTTTTCCTGTGTCACTTTCGTTACTGTTGTTTTAGTTTGGTTTTTTGAGACAAAAATCTTCCTATGTAGCCCAGGCTGGCCTCCCAGAGTGCTAGGATTACAGGCTTACACTCCCACACATGTCTTCAGTTGTTGAGTTTTATTCAGAATTCTTTTTTTTTTTTTTTGTCCCTTTGGTCTTTTGAGGTAGTGTTTCCCTGTAGCCACAGCTGCCCTGTACTCGGTGTTGTAGACCAGACTGGCTTGATCTTACAGATCTGCCTGCTTCCCGAGTGCTGAGATTAAAGGCGTGTGCCACCACACCCAGCTTTGCCCTTTTATTTTGAAATAGGATTTTGTCAAGTTAATCTAGGGGCTCTTCAACTCCCTCTATAGTTCAGACTGGCCTTCAGCTTGCCATTCTCCTGCCTTCGGCTTGCCATTCTCCTGCCTCCATAGAGTCTAGAGTATCTGGAATTACAGATCTGTGCCACTGGGGCCAGGCTAAGAAGGATAATTATTGAGATGGGGGCTGCTGTGTGAACTACAGGAAATTGGGCATGGTGCTCCTCCTGTCTACCTCTTGAGTGATTAGAATTACACACATGTGCCACCATGGTTTATGCAATGCTAGGTATCAAGTCCGGGGTCTGGTGCATTCTTCAGCTTTATATGTGAATATGGTTACATTTTATACCATCCTTCTCAGAGGACAGTTACCTATTCTTTTGTCTAAAAACCTTTTTGAGGGGCTGAAGAGATGACTCAGTGGTTAAGAGTGCTGACTGTTCTTGCAGAAAACCCAGGTTCAAATCTCAACACCCACATGGCTGCTAACAACCATCTGTCTGTAACTCCAGTTCCAGGGGATCTGAAGCCCTCTTCTGTTCTCCTCGGGCACTGCATGACATGACAACATGGGTACACTTACACATGTGCAGGCATAACACTGATGGACATAAAATGGAAATAAAATACTTTTTTTTTTTGAGACAGGGTCTCCCTGTAGCCCCAGCTGTCCTGGAACTCACTATGTAGACCAGGCTAGCCTTGAACTCACAGATATCCGCCTGCCTCTACCTCCCGAGTGCTGGGATTAAAGGCGTGCGCCACCACGCCCGGCAAAAACACCCCTTTTTGAAGGCTAGATATAGTGGCTCATACCTGTAATCCTAGTATTCAGAAGGGAGAGGCAGAAGTATCACCACAAATTCAAGGCTGTCCTGGTCTCTGTAGCAAGTTACACACACACACACACACACACACACAATTTTGGTATTCAGCACTAAGGAAGTTTGGTTCAATGGGAAAATAATAAGAAATAACCTCAAACTCATTGTGTCAAATAGACTGACCTCAAACTTGAGGTGATCTTTTCACCTCCAAATATTGGGATTATAAGCATGTGTCATCGTGTCAACAAGGTAAAAGACAGTTCACCACAGCTCATAGTCTGCCCTGTTATTTCTGAGAGGTAAAAGTGTCTTCAGTTTCTGATTTCCTTTATTTCTGCATTTTGTTTTGTAGATACAAGTCTAATTCTGCTCAGCTACTCGTTGAGGCGCGAGTTCAGCCTAATCTATCAAAACACGTGAGTGAGATGTCTTTGAATGGCTCTCTGTGGCTTACCCATGTCAGTGAGAACCAACTTTGCTTTGTTCTGTATAGCATGCCCAAAATCTTGTTCTGATCCTAATTCTCCCACAGTTTGAAAAGTTTCAGGTTGGTAATGTCTATCTCAGTGGTTGAGCACTTGCCAAACATGCATGAAGTTATACAGATAGGAAGTAATTCATTATCTATCCTGGGGCCTTTTTCAGCATTACTTTAACTTCCTGTATGCACTTACAGACAGCCTATATACCCTTTTGGATGCATTGGTGTTCCTGAGATCATTATATACCTCTGATTCTGCTTATACTTTCTTTGGTCTGGATTATTTGAGCTCTATATCTGTCTATGCTTATAGGCATGGAAGTTACTCTTATTAGTAATTTATTTTGTATTTGCTTAATTTTTTTGCCTTTTTTTTTTTGTGTGTGTGTGTATTTGCTGTTATTTTTTTTAAAAATTTGTGAGTTTTGAGACCAGGCTGGCCTCAAAGTCACAGAGATTTGCCTCCTAAGTGTTGGGATTAAAGGTGTGTGCCACCATGCCGAACTATTTACTTTTTTAAAAAATATTTTATGTTTTTATTTTATGTATATGAGTGTATTGCCTGCATATGTGTAAGTATACCTGTGCCATGCAGTCAGTGCCCAAGGAGTCAGAAAAAGGCATTGGATTCCCTGGAACTGCAGTTACAGACTATTATTAGCTGCCGTGTGGGTGCTGGGAATCAAACCCAGGTCCTCTGCAAGAGCAGTCAGTACTCTTAACCACTGAGCCGTCTCTCTAGGCCCCTAGCTATTTACTTTTTTTTTTGGTCTTTTTGAGTCAGGGTCTCCCTGTATCCTCAGCTGGCCTGGAACTAGCTGTGTAGACCAGGCTGACCTCAAACTCACAGAGATCTGTCTGCCTCCTGAATGCTGTGATTAAAGGCATGTGCCACCACACCTGACTCCAGCTATTTACTTTTTAAGAATTTATTTTCATGTTTATTTTGTGTTTTTGAGTATTTTGCCTGTGTGCCTATGGAGGCCAGGAGAAGATGTAGGATCTCTTGCAGCTAGAGTTACAAGCCAACCATAAGCTGCCAGGTGGTAGGAATGAAACCCAAATCCTCTGCAAGAGCAATATTTACTCATAACACTTGAACCATCTCTCCAGCCCCATAAATCACTTGTTTTGTTTTGTTCTGGTCTCACTATGTAGACCAGGCTGGCTTTGATGCACAGATTCACCTGCCTTTGCCTCCCAAGTGCTGAGATTAAAGGCGTGTGCCAACACCACTCTGCTATAAATTACTTTTAAGACCCAAGTCCAAACCACCTTTTTTTGTACATTTATTTGTTTGTTTGAAACAGATCTTACTGTGTAGCTCTGACTGGCCTAGAACAAGCTTTTTAAACCAGGCTGGTTTCAACTCAGAGATCCTCCTGCCCTGCCTCCCAGGTGCTGAAATCAAAGGTGTGTGCCACCACACTGACCTTATTTTTTTATTTTTTAATTTATCTGTTTACTTATGGTGTATCTGCCTGTTCATGCAAGCATGTTATAAGTGAAGCCTAAGGTGGATGTTGCTTTCTACCTGTTTTGAGATAGTGTCTCTCACTGAACCTGAAGCCCTTTGATTAAGCTAACCTAGCAGGTCAGTGAATTCTGAGGATCTACCTGTCTTCACCTCCACAGTACTGGGATTATACATCTATACCACCATGCCCAAATTTTTTTTTTTTTTTTTGAGTTAGGGGATGGGGGGCAGGGTGTATGTTCATGTGTGCATGTGACTGCAGGCTTGCGCATGCCGTAGCATGCCTGTGTATGTCAGAGGACAACCTCAGGTGTTGGTCTTTGCCTTCTACCTTGTATGATTGATTCAGAACCTGTTGTTTAGTATTTCATAAGCCAGACTAACTTCTGGGGATTCTCCTGTCCCTGCTTCTGAATTCACCATAGGCACAGATACTACTGCATACAGCATTATGCGGGCTCTAGAGATCCGAACTCCACTATGCTTACATGACAAGTGCTTCTATATTTTATACACTGAACTGTCTCCCCTGTCCCCATGCCCAGCTTTTAGCATGGATGATAGGGATCAAGCCCTCATCCTTGTATGTTAGGGGCTTTACCAACTGCCCTAATTCATATTTTCTTTCCTACCATAGGAAGTATGTAAATAATGGACATAAGGGCCAGAGAGATGGCTCAGCAGGTAAAGCCTGAAAACCTGAGTTCCGTCCCCAAGACCCACATAGTAAAAGGAGAGAATTGACTCCTGAAAGTTGTCCTCTGGTTTCCACATGTGTGCCATGGTACATAGGTGCACACACATATTCACACAAACAAAAATGTAATAAAAACATATAATGTATAACAGTTTCTTATGTATCTAGGAGGCCGACAAATATTTGTTGAATAATTTTCAAATGAGGACCGTATTAAAAGAACTCTTAGGAAGAGAGAAATGAGACTTAGATCACCAGATATTTTTGCAACCTCTTAGGAGAAAGATTTCCAGAAGCATAGTTGGATAAATGTGAAAATTCAGTCAGTCCATTTCCTCAACTTGTTTTTTGTTTTCCTAGTGAGCCAAAAAGAATCTAAACTTGTAAGTAGACTTTTCTATTGGTTTATATTTTAACAGAGTCCCCACATTGTCTGCCTGCCATGGTGTGTAGCATGGCATAGATTCTGGAGTTCAAGCTTTGTAGTCTTTTGCCCACATCCTAGAAAAGCTCTTTCTCTATCCATCCAAATTAAAAGACTCTTCAATTGTATTAAAATGACCTTGAAGGGTTTTGGAAATCCTGAAATCCTGTTTTTCAATCTAACATTCTAAACCACTGTAGGTGTTGATTTCAGCCTTCTCTTTTTTTTTTTTTAAATTGAGCCTGGAATGCACTATGTAGAACCAGACTCACCTCAATCATACAGAAATCCACCTGCTTCTGCCTCTGGGTGCTGGGATTAAAGGCGTGTGCCACCACTCACAGCTCAGCCTTCTTTCTGATTCTCTGAACCCTTTCTAGTATCTGCTTTTATCTGCCTCTTTTTATCCCTACCCCGACCCTCTTGGCACTCAAAGTCCAATTGTAGTTGGGTCTGAACACTGGTAGTTTCAGGATCACCTTTCACATACCCAGCTGCACCAGGCCTACTCATGGCCTTCCCAGACTTGAAAGCTACTCTTTGGCTCATGTGGCTCTACCTCTCTCTAGGTCCCCACAGCCCATACCCCTCACCACTGTGCAGTGTGTATGCAGTTTGTACGGAAGGAAAACCTACTCTCTCTGGCCTGTCAACACCAGTTTTGCCGAAGCTGCTGGGAGCAGCATTGCTCAGTACTAGTCAAAGATGGTGTTGGTGTGGGTGAGTCTGCACAGAACTTATTTAAAGCTGAAATAAAGTTTTTTGTCTTTCACTTTGCCTTTTCATGTACTCAAGGAAACTTTTCTTCTAAGATTGACAGGTTTTCATTTTCAGATCTAGTGGTTTCCAAATGTATCATACTGGCACAGTTTAGTCTCTAGTAGAATGAGAAAATTATAGATAGTATCTTCTCTCAGCTTTTAAGAGAATTTCCCTTTTAGATACCTGCCATATCTTGATTCCCCATGCTGCTGATGAGGTTATATATATATAATTTGATCACTAGCTACCAGGAGTATTTGCTATTCTGTGACTTGATTATATTGAGACTAATTAGTACCATGTTAATTGTTTATCTATAAAATCTCATATATTAAGCTGAACATTGTGGCACATGCCTGTAATCCCAGCACTTGGAAGGTAGAGGCAGAAGGAACAGGAATTCAAGACCTGCCTCAGCTATATAGGAAGTAAAGACCAGCTTGGTCTATAGGAGATCCTGTCTCAAACTTCCCTACCCCTTCACTTCACCCCCCCCCCAAAAAAAAACCCAAAACACCAAAACTTCAGTGTATTAGTGAAAACTAAATTGTTAGTCGATAACTTTGGGTTTTTTTTAGTGGTACTTCTGATGATATGGGTAGTTGGCAATAACTTTGTTATCTTTGTTCAACAGGAGTCTCCTGTATGGCTCAAGACTGTTCACTCCGAACACCAGAGGATTTTGTGTTTCCATTGCTTCCCAATGAAGAATTGAGAGATAAATACAGGCGCTACCTCTTTAGGGACTATGTGGAGGTATGACTAGTCATGGGTTTTTTTTGCCCTCTGTCTTCCTGGGCCTATAGTTTACAAGGCTGCCTGCCGTTAGATGATAGTAGGCTTTGGAGTCAGACAGACCAGTGTGTAAATCCTAGATCTATTGCTTCCTGGTTATGTGACCACTGACATATGAATTTACCTCTTAGTCTTGGTTTTTGCTTTCTTAGAATGGACAGACATCCCAACTTTATATACAGTTGCTTAAGCAAGCTGTCTCGTTTTCTGTACAATTCAGCACAGAGAAGGATTTATCGCCGGGCATGGTGGTGCAAGCCTGTAGTCCCAGCACTTGGGAGGCAGAGACAGGTGGATCTCTGTGAGTTCAAGGCCAGCCTGGTCTACATAGTAAGTTCTAGGCCAGCTGGTGCTGCAGGGAGACCCTGTCTCAAAAGACAAAAAAAAAAAAAGAGAGAGAGAGAGAGAATTTATCATTTGGTTTTGTTTTAGTAATTTAAAAACTTGTCCAGGCCAGGTGTGGTGGCACATGCCTTTAATCCCAGCACTGGGGAGGCAGAGGTAGGTGGATCTCTGTGAGTTCAAGGCCAGCTGGGGCTACTGGGTCGACCCTCTCTCAAAAAAGACAAAAAAAGTCCAGCCTGGTCTACAGAGTGAGTTCTAGGCAGCTGGAGCTATAGGGAGACCCTGTCTCAAAAAGACCAAAAAAAAAAGAAACTTGTCCAGAATTCCAGCAAGCTTAGTTTTGGATTCCTTTCCCTTTTTTAGGCTACCTGTTCAGTTTTGCTGATTCCATGCAGCATAGTTTTCATCTTTGTCTTTTATGCCCTACCTTAATAGTATATTGGATTGGTCTTTCTCTTGTCTCATGTACATGCACGGTAACCAAAGGCCTTATTTCTGGCATTATTTGCTGCCTTTGGTAGATTCCTGAGGATCCTTGAGCCCTTGAGCACAGGTAACTGAGCTGAATTCCTTTCCAGCCCAGGTCTCCCTGTAGCCTCAGCTGGCTGGAACTAACTATATAGACCAGGCTGGCCATGAGATCCATCTGCCTCTGCCTCCAAACACTGGGCTTAAAGGTGTGTGTCACCATGCTGGGCACATAACTTTTTTTTTCCTGACACAGTTTCACTATGTTGACTAGGCTGATGCTAAGAAATCCTTGCACCTCAGTCTCCCAAGAAGCTAAGTAGCTAGAACTACAAGCACACACATCTATACGCACGCAACCTAAAGGTATAATTTTGTATTCTTTTTTTTTTTTTTTTTTTTTTTGAGACAGGGTCTCCCTGTAGCCCAAGCTGTCCTGGAACTCACTATGTAGACCAGGCTGGCCTTGAACTCACAGAGATCCTCCTGCCTCTGCCTCCCAAGTGCTGGGACTACAGGCGTGTGCCACCACTTGGAAAGATCAACTTGGAAAAACAGAGGCATTTGAGCATTCAAGGATATCTCTTTTGGAGACAATGACTAGAGGATATCCTCATTGTTTCTCCTTTGTGTATTCACAGAGTCATTACCAGCTCCAGCTGTGCCCTGGTGCAGACTGCCCCATGGTTATTCGGGTACAGGAGCCTAGAGCCCGCCGAGTGCAGTGTAATCGGTGCAACGAGGTCTTCTGGTAAGAGGGAATGAGTGCTAAGCAATTCTGGGCTCATGGGCCATCCTCCTTCAGAGTACCTCTGTTGCTATATGAGAGAGGTGGGATATCTGTTCTAGAAGAGCACTGTGCTCCAACTGATTGGCTTTGTGCTCAGCATTTCATGTTCTACAGTGTATTTGATAAATGCCCAGATTCTATAGATGAGGGCAGGTTTGGTTTGGTTATGTTTTTGAGATAGGGTCTCACTATGTAGCCCCAGCTGGCCTAGAACTCACTGTGTTTCCCATCCCAATCTTGCCTGCCTCTGCTTCCTGATTGCTGGAATTAAAGGCCTATACTACCACACCCAGCTTGTTTGTTAGACGTCTCTCTTTATGCTGACCTCAAACTCACAATGTAGCCAAGGATGACCTTGAACTTCTGACCCTTCTCTACTCCCAGAGTACAGGGATTCTAGGCTTGCACTACCATGTCCCGTTTAGTCAGTGCTGGAAATCGAACTCAGCTATATGGGTTATATGCATGCTGGGCAAGCACTCTACCAACTGAGCTATAGTTCCACTCTGTCTTGCCTAACTTATAAAATGAATTCATGAGTGAATTCTACATTTAAAAAACATCAGTAAAGACCTAATGGGTGATAGGCACTGTCTTGATTACTTTCCCTCCATTATCACAACTGTGTGAATGACTCTGTCATCCTTGTGTTCTAAGTGAGGAAAGCAAGGTACAGAGAAAATAAATTTGCTAGTAAATAACAGAGCCATAATTTAAATTCAGATCTTTTTTTAGAATGTGTATGAGTGTTTTGCTTGCATGTATGTAAGTGTACCACATGCATGTAATGCCTGCAGAAGCCAGAAGAGGGTGGATCCCCTGGAGCTGTCCTATGAGTGCTGGGAATCAACCTCAGGTCTGTAAGAGCAGCCAGTGCTCTTAACTACTGAGTCATTTCTCCATCCCCTTTTCTATTTTTAGCTTTTAAGTCTCAGATGTAACAGGACCCTTCAGATTTTTTTGTTTTTTGTTTTAAATAATTTATTGAGAATTTCATACATGCATATAAGGTGTTTAATCAAATCCATGCCACTCCCTCCCCTCCAACTCCTCCCATATCTCCCCATCAGTTTTTTCTAATAACTTCACATTCTCTTCTTTTTTTTCAATGGGGCTTTTTGCTACTCTTAACATTCCCCCCTCTGAATAGGTAACCCTAAAATCTTTTAAGGATTAGATAAGTGCTTCCACATATTTTCAATATTTCTGGCCTTTGGAACGGGGTATGTTGCTAAGAGACCCAAGGACATTGTGACTCCAAGAAACTGGCTACTTTTCTTTGGGGTCTTTTTACACTAACTGCCTAGCCAGTTCCTACCTCCTATTCTTATCACATGATACTCTGAAGCAGTTACCCAACTTGCAGATAGGGAATTGGGATGCAGACCACTCTGGCTTCTTCCATGCTGAACAGAGACGCAGGGTAGGGCAATTGGGGTACCCCTTCGTTGAGGACCCTTCAGATTTTACAAGTTCTCACATTTGTGCATCTTTAGATCTTAATGAAGGGATCTTAGGTACTTATCTTGCCTTTCAAGAAGCTGAGTTCAGGGCTGGAGTGTAGCTCAATTGGTAAAGTGCTTACCTGGCACACATAAAGCCCTGGGTTTGATCCCTAGCACCACATAAACCGGGTACGTTAACTGACTCATTCCTGCAATCCTAGCCCTCAGAAAGTAGAAGCACAAAGATCAGAAGTTCAAGGTAATTCTTGACTACATAGTGACTTGGAGGCCAGCCCTGGAGGCCAGCCCTGGGATACATGAAACTGTTGCAGTAAAAGGAAAAACAAAAAACCAAAAAGCTGGGCTCAGGGTTGGTAGTATTTTTTGTTTTGTTTTGTTGTGTGTGTGTGCGTTTGACTTTTAAAGAGTTGATGACATCCAAGATGTTTAAAGAGAAACACTTCACATGGGCCTTCTGAGAGCATGTCTTAGGCTCAAGTTGAAGAAATATTCATACAGTTTTCATTATAATCCTGGATAACTAAAGCTTTCAAAGGCCTCAAGAGGTGATTTTTTTCCCCCCCGAGACAGGGTCTCAACCATGTAGCCCTGGCTGTTCTTGAACTCACAGACATCCACCTGCCTCTGCTTTCTGAGTGCTGGGATGAAAGCCATGTGCCCCGCCTTTTTTTAAAGCTCTAATTCAGGCTCTGTTGGCTCAAACAAGAGGAAAATTTGAAACATCAGACCTTGACTTGACACTTACTGGAATGTATTTCTTTTCCAATTTAAGTTTCAAGTGTCGACAGATGTATCACGCCCCCACAGACTGCGCCACAATCCGGAAATGGCTCACGAAATGTGCAGACGATTCTGAAACGGCCAACTACATTAGTGCTCACACTAAAGATGTAAGGACCAAATCTTACCTTTGTGGATCTGTCCTAAGTAGTGCTGCCCAGGGCCCTTCACTGGTGATTGGCCAACTGAGAGCAGAATACACAGTCCAGGCTCTTACTGGGGACTGTGGACCCAGACCTGGCATAGTTTTACCAGTTTATCCTAAGATGCTTTAGATGCATTTAACAAAATTCCAAATTATTTGATAAATTTTGACCCAAAGGAGA